AGTGTTGTTTTCATCTGCATCTCTCGAATGACCAGTGATGTGGAACATTTTTTCATATATTTTCTTGCTGCTTTTACTTCTTTGTCTGAGAAATGTCTGTTCATTTCGGATGCCCATTTTTGAATCGGGTCTTTATATTTGGGGGGACTGATTGTTTTGAGTTCTTTATATATCCTTGATAATAGTCCTTTGTCTGAGGAACAGCTGGTAAAAATTTTTTCCCACATTGTAGATCGTCTCTTAGTTCTGCTGATGGTTTCTTTTGAAGTACAGAAGCTTTTTAGTAAGATGAGATCCCAGTTGTTGATTCTATCTGCTAGTTCTGGTGCTACTGAGGATTTGTTCATAAAGTCTTTTCCTATACCAATGTCTTCCAGAGTTCTGCCTAACTTACCTTCCAGCAAGTTTAATGTTTCTGTTTTAATATTTAGATCTTTAATCCATTTGGATTTTAATTTAGTGCATGGTGAAAGATAAGGGTCTAATTTTAATCAAAAACATTTTAAAAATAATTTTGCAACATTTTAACCTAGTAAAACATATTCTTTTCCATTAATCCCTAGCAGCCTGCTTAAAATTACTACAATTTCAAAGTAGTGGTGAGCAAAATGACTCTGAGAAATCTGCAACAACTTCCTGTACAACGGAAGTGTCTGCAGACAGTGTCTCCTGACGGTAAAGTCAGGGGTATAAACACTATGGTTGGTTGCTTGGATTTATATTAAGAAATGATAAATTTCAGTTAGAGATGGTGAAAATTAAGATACAATGGTTCCCATTAAGTCCACAAGCCCTGATTTCTCCCCACTCAGAAGTAACCCTGATAGAGGTGAAAAAAGTGCACGACCTTCTGCTCAGAGCTAAACTGCAGTAAGGGGCCAGGGACTCACTGTACTTTGTTGGGGACCTTTCTAGGGACAGCCACGGGCTTTCTCTCTGATGTGAGGGAAACTTGTTTTTAAAGAAAATTGACAGCATGTCCTTTTTCATGCAGTGCTGTCCAAAGAGTAATAAGGACCTTTGATGTATTTCTTCAACAACTGGAATCACCATTGCCAAATAGAGTCAGCTAATCATTTAATTCTGAATTTTAATCAGGATATCGTTTCCTGCTCCCATTGCCTTGAGAGTGAGGATTTTTTTCCCGCTTTTTGGCCTACCCAGGAAGGGTCCAAGCTCCCAGATGGTACTACTTCGTTTTGGACACTGGCTTCGAGATGACTGAGCGCGAGCGAGCGAGCACGCATACACCCCCACACCCACCCTTTCGGGTCCTCCTGGGGGAGCTGTCATCTTGCAAACCACAGAGCCCTGCATGCCATTGCAGGGGCAACCCGGCAGGCGGGGCCCCCGGCGCCGACACACAGGAGCCTGGCGCTGGGCTGGGTCTCGG